CTACACATCTTGTCAGCTATATCTTTTGGTTCTGAGCACTGAAACTAAGTATTAAAATTAGTTAAACTTAAAAACTATACATTCAAAATGTTAAGCCACAATTTTTTTTAAAAAAGGATATTTACACTACTTTTGAGGGAGCAAAAAATGTTTTACCAATAGTAAGTATGAATTTAGAATTATTTATTATTTTAATATGTCATCCTTTCCAAGTTCTTATTTTTGTATATTTCATAATATGGTAGTAATAGTACATACATAGTTTGTAAATAAACATACAGATTGAAGGTACATGTTCAAAGTTTTATTTTACCTCTGGGGCCAGAATGTGATCAAAAAAGTTTGAAGATTCCTATCCTCAAGTGTTAAAATTTATCTCACAAGAGGGTACAGACATCCCAAAAGACACCAGGCCATAAATAGATGTGAGAAATGTAACTTGATTATAAGAACCTACAATTTAAGAGTAAGTGTTAAAAACCACAGCATTCCACAACTTAAATACTCTCTCTAGGAATATTCAAATAAATTCTAACATGTGTCAAAGAAACTTGGTAATATGAGAAAGAGTTTTCTTTAGGCAAATGTAAGACAGGCTTGAAAACAAAGGCTTTAATTTAGCTAGGAGTAGATTCTGTTTTGGGAAAAGGTACCTTAATCTTAGCAAACAATCACAACTATTTAAATTTTGTAAGTGAGGTATAGAAACAAGAAGCATTCACTGGCTCTGGCTCTGAAAAATCATTTAAATTGCAGTTTAAATTAGTTAATTTAGGAGAATAAAAAGCGTAACATTTTCATATATAATTTAAAATTGTACACCTTTCAAATCAATGTACTTAGTAAGACTGTATGGCTAACTATCACAGACTCAGACTTTGAGAAGTACAGGAAGGAAACATTCAGTCTAAGAAGTTAGACTGAAGAAAGAGTATTCAAGAAGGTATGGTTTAGAATTTTAAGGAAATGTAATTAGTTTTTCCTTTTATTTCAAAATATTATGGGGGTACAAATGTTTTTGGTTACACAGATCACTTTTGTTATGCTTGAATCTGGGTTATAAGCATGCCCATCACCAGGTAGTGTTCACTGTACTGTTAGGTAGGTTTTTGCCCATCCCCTCCTCCTCCTCCCTGATTAGTTTTAAAGATATTTTATTTACTAAAAACATCTTGGGAGACTACACTGAACTTATCATCCTTAGAGACCTTTTATAAATTAACTCATCACAATATATTAAAATGGTGACAAAGTTTATCTGGAATAGGAAAATTATAATCAGATCTTCATAATGAAAATTACTATTATTTTAACTATCAATAAGGAATAATGGGAAAACATGATAAGCAGGACTTACTCTCCTGAAAACCTGCCTTTCCTTTCCAACATTTATTCAGTGCCCAAGCACTACACTAGGTGCTGCAGATTGAAAAATAAATAGAAAGGCATCTTCAAATTCCACTGGGAGAAACAAGTAAGTTAACGGGCAAATGAGAATGTGTCTTATGTGCTATAATAAATACTGTGAAGGGCTTAACAGAGAGAGGAACAATTTTTTTGCTTAAGGAAGATGAGAAAGGCTTTACATTTAAGATGACATTCTAGCTGGGTCATGTAGAGGGATCAAAAACCCAAGTAGGCAAAGAAAAACATCCCCAGTGAAAAAAGAAAATAAATGAAGGCGCAGTGTTGTGCAAGGACTCACAGTGCCTAGAAGACTATAAGAAATTTACTGAAGCTGAAATCATGAACAAAGGATAGAGTAAGGCTAAGAGGGGAAATAAAGTTAGATTGTGAAGAGACTTGTGTATCAAACAGATATTTTAGATTTGAACCTGTAGGAGCTAACAAAAAATTCTCAAGCAAAAGAACAACATAATCAGATTGATTTTGTGGAAAGTTAACAGTATAAAACAGACTAAATCAGTCCATAGAGTAGGCTCCTATAATAATCCAAGCAAGAAATGAGGGCCTAGATTAAAACAATGTCTTTGTTTTTAGATGTTCAGTAGTGTGGAAGATGGAAAAAAGAGGTAAAATTTCAAAGAGATTTCTGGGGGAAAATTGAAAGAATATGATAACTTCCAGGTTTCTAAAATGGGAAATAAGGAAGATGTCATTGTCTTTATCTAATAAAGATAAAGAAGGAAGAGACTGGCTGGGCACAGTGGCTCACGCCTGTGCCCTCACAGTGGCCTCACTCTGGGAGGCTGAGGTGGGAGGATCACTTGAGTCCAGGAATTTGAGGTTGCTGTGAGGTATGCTGACACCATGGTGCTCTAGCCCACGCAACAGAGCAAGACTCTGTCTCAAAAAATAAACAAGCGAACGAACAGGGAAGAGATGATGTGTTCACTTTTGGAAGTCTTAAGTTTGAGGTTCTTAGTAAGATGCATAGTTTATATCTAATAATCAGTTGGAAATATGGATATCAAGTTTGGAAGATGAATCTGGCTCAGTAATATATGGGAGCAGGTGAGATCACCTTTTTTTTTTTTTGAGACAGAGTCTCACTGTGTTGCCCGGGCTAGAGTGCCGTGGCGTCATCTTAGCTCACAGCAACCTCAAACTCCTGGGCTCAAGCAATCCTCCTGCCTCAGCCTCCCAAGTAGCTGGGACTACAGGCATGCGCCACCATGCCCGGCTAATTTTTTCTTTATATTTTTAGTTGTCCAATTAATTTCTTTCCATTTTTAGTAGAGACGGAGTCTCGCTCTTGCTCAGGCTGGTTTCGAACTCCTGAGCTCAAACAATCCTCCCGCCTCGGCCTCCCAGAGAGCTAGGATTACAGGCGTGAGCCACCGCGCCTGGCCGAGATCACCTTTAAAAAGCCAGTAGGAAGAAAGAAGAAACAAAAAAACCAATCCCTAGGGAAATAACAGTAGAGAAAGCAAGAGCAAAGGAAACCCAGAGAGAACACTCAGAGAAATAATAGAAAACCATAAAGGAAAAGAATCCTGAAAGCTTAGGGAAGAAAGAATTTCAAGAGTACATAATAAGCCACATGTTAAAAGGATGACTAGCACAAAACTACTGGATTTGGTGATTAAGAGCTCAATGATGAACTTGTAACTGAAGCAGTATTATCAGAGTGGTAGGAGGGAAAAGAGAATAACCATGCAATGGGGCAAAAACTAAAATATAAGGTAAAGAAATGAAAAGAGAAAGTAAAATGCTCTTAAACAGCTTAAAATGAATTTACCCATCACTGAAGGAAGGCTCTGTTCTTTAGCAACACCTGTGTCAACGGTACATTGTTCCAACAGTTGAGTTTCCAACTCCCTGAATTAAAAAAAATAAAAAAGTTACTGGAATTAAAATATTGCAACTGATATCCTTTTCTTATTTGATATTTTTACTACATAAAAGATTTTGATGCTGTAAATAAAAATAGTTTTATTCTTAAAAGATGAATACTCAAAGCTAATAGAAAATAGAATAAAATTAAATGTCCACATCACAACACTGATCAATAAACTCATTAGCATCTGTTTTTGTGGCACATGTGAAGATAATGTGCTAAATTCCAAGAAACTTACCTGTGAAGAGCTTTTCCTCCTAAGGGGAGTGCTCCCCAACAATTTAGTACTGGAATTCCTTCATATATCTATAGAGCAGTCAAGGATATTACTATATTAGGAGATAAAGTGTGATTTTCTTGATATTTTCCCCACATTCTGCAATGTTGTTCTAAATCAGCTTTGGTGACAAATTTTTTTTTTTTTTTAAACAGAGTCTTGCACTGTAGCCCAGGCTAGAGTGCCGTGATGTCAGCCTGGCTCACAGCAACCTCAAACTCCTGGGCTGAAGCAATCCTCCTGCCTCAGCCTCCCAAGTAGCTGGGACTATAGGTGTGCACCACCACACCCAGCTAATTTTTTCTATTTTTAGTAGAGACGGGGTCTCGCTCTTGTTCAGTCTGATCTTGAACTCCTGACCTCAAGTGATCCTCTTGCCTCAGCCTCCCAGAGTGCTAGGATTACAGGTGGGAGCCACCATTCCTGGCCCTGTTGACAAATTCTTAATTTTAAAAGAGTTACAGAAAAATCCAAGAGTAAGTCTTTGTTCATATACTTCACCAAAGAAAATAGAATAAAAATACACACATGTATGCACACAATTCATCAGTTAAAGCTGAGGCATACAATAAGGTAGCCACTAGCCACATGTGGCTATTGAGCACTTGAAATATGGCTAGTCTGAACGGGGACGTGCTGTAAGAGTAAACAACACACCAAACTTAGACTTTAATATAAGAAAACTCTAAAATATCCCATTATAATTTTTGTTTTGATTGTATATTGGAATATTTTGAATATACTGGATTAAACAAAATGTATCAATCATTTCAACTCTTTTATTTGTGCTTTTAAAAATGTGGCTCTTGAGATTAGCCAGACATGGTGGTGCATGCCTGTAGTCTCAGCTACTCGGGAGGCTGAGGCAGGAGGATCGCTTGAGCCCAGGAGTTTGCGGGTGCAGTGAGCTATGATGATGCCACTGTACTCAAGGCTGGGGAACAGAGGAAGACCTTGTATCTAAATAAATAAACAAATAAATAATGCATACATAAATAAATTAAAATGTGACTCTTTAGAAAACTTTAAGTTACATATATGACCACATTAATTTCTGTTGGGCAGAGCTGAGAGGAAAGCAGACAATATTGTATTGTGGGTTTGCTACCTTACTTTACATATTGTTTTGATTGGTGTTCTTAAGTACAATAGTTATAAAAAGGTAAAAAGTATACTGGTAAGAGCATCAGCTTTGGATATAAACATCAGTTTATATCCTGGTTATATGTTTACATAAACTTTGGTCAACTACCCATCCCAATTTTCAATTTTCTCATTTATATAATGAGAAAAATAGTACTCATGTTGCAGGGTTGTTTTGAGAATTAATCACAAAGTACTTGATATTTAAAACACTACTGCCTGATTTAGTTCCTTAAGAGTTAATGATTTTTCATTCTCTTCCCATGAATGTTTCTTCTAATAAATATACATGAAGATCTCAAAATTGCAAGAGTCTTACATTCATGTACTTTAAGTTCCCTCTCAATGAAGCAATGTCCACTGTGACAATTCTAAGAGACATTTACCTATACTCTGCTTAAAGGTTTACAATGAAAAGAAATGTACCAGTTCACGTAGTCAGTAATTCCATTTTGGGAACTTATTAGTAAGGTCTCCTCTATGGTGAATGATATAAAAATAATAGCACTTACTGAGCAAGTTACTATGTGCCAGGTCCTATGCTAAACACTTTACATACATTACTTCACTCAACCCACATAACTCTCCTGAGATGGAAATATTAATACCCTCATTTTATAGATGATGAAATCAAGGCTTAGAGAGACTAAGCTATCTGACCAACATCACGAAAACAGTAAGAAGCATAGCTGAGATTTACACTTATTATATTGTTGATTTCAGTACCCAAGCTCATAAACCCATGGTACATCCATGATAGCTTCTGAAGAGAGAAAAAAAAAAAGGATTCACTTTTCTATAGTAAGCCCTTCAGCTATTTGAAGGCAGATTTCAAGTTGCCATTAAGTTTTTGTTTTTTTTTTTTTTGAGACAGAGTTTCACTCTATTACCCCAAGTAGAGTGCCATGGCGTCAGCCTAGCTCACAGCAACCTCAAACTCCTGGGCTCAAGCAATCCTCTTGCCTCAGCCTCCCGAGTAGCTGGGAATACAGACAAGCAACACCACATCTGGCTAATTTTTCTATTTTTAGGAGAGACGGGGTCTCGCTCTTGCTAAGGCTGGTCGTGAACTCCTGAGCTCAAATAATCCGCCTGCCTCGGCCTCCCAGAGTGCCAGGATTACAGGCGTGAGCCACCTTGCCCGGCCCATTAAATTTTAATTTTTCTTGATTGAACTTTCTCATTTCAGTTTCTCCAATTACTCTTCATATGATTTTTTTCCTAGAACCTATCCTAGTCAACTTCTTTGACACATCCTAATTAGCTGATATTCCTTTTGAAAACTTAATATTCATAACGTCTGCTCCTGGAGTATATACTGGGACCAAATCATAATGACAACTTCCTTTTTTTTTTTTTGACAACTTCTATAAAAAGTAAACTTAGGTCTTACAATCCTGTGAACTTTTTTCACATGGTAATTTGTATTTGTATATGGTAATCCAAAATAGTTCAATAGAATAAAAATCATTTGTAATAAGTCTAATTATTATAGTTAAAGTAGAGTTCAAACTGCAAAATTGGCTGATTGATAAAAAAGATACAGGTAACACGAGGCTTTCCCTGTATCCACAATCCAGGACCATGGCAGAGTTAATTCCGAGTGTCAGAAGAGCCATTAGATGACTTGGAGCAAGCAAGACAGATGGAACCTGGAAAACAACACAATCAAAACAACAACAACAAAACCAGAGTAAGTGTCGAATCTGAAGGTATCTGCCTTATATTAAAATATATTTGAAAAAATTCACAGGAAAATTGTATTAAATTATATCATGAGACCTATTGAACCATTTTATGGCACTAAATTAAGAACTTGTTTGATTTATTTGCATAAATCATATTAGTATAATCATTTAGTCAATAATCAAAAATATACTATAATAAACAAAAACACTTTAAACTAAGTTGTTTCATTCCAAAATGACAATTATGAAGCATTTTTATTAATTCTTGTTCTATCTCTTTTGGAAGAGAAAACTGAAAGGGATAAAAGAGGAGGTTCAAAAACATAAATTCAGAGGAAGATGCTAAACTAAAAAAATAAAGAGATGCCTTTACCAGCAAGATGAAAATACAGAAAAAGACTTTTCTTGATTATCTTTATTTGCAAAGCTTATAATATGAACTGTATTTTTAAAACACTGAAATATAGCAGTTAAAATTAAACCCAAGAACAAAACTACAAAAATAGTTAGCTCTTTTTAATACTTTTTTCAGTGAGAATTTGCAGATCTGATGACTTCGCAAATACCAGAAATCCAACCAAAATATGAAAGTGCACCATAATCAAGTGGCAGACAAAATAATGGCTATATTTCCCTTATCTAAATAGTTAGAGCAGGTATTCTAGTAATATACAAGACAAGGATACTAATGCAAACACAACTAAAACTCTAAGAATCTCCTACGTTATTCAGATGAAAGCTAACGTGACTTGTCTTCTTTTGTTTTGTGTTCTCCCTACTGCAAACAAAATTCCTGAATCTATGTCAGTAAGTACAGGAGGCTATGCGACCTGTTTCTCTGTACCTGCCTTACCAAAATGTAACTTAGAATTATTAACTGCCCTTGCCTCATAAGACATTGTGATTTTTGGTATTAGGTATATTTTGAGTTCAGCAGTATGTAAGAAAATACATTTGTATGTGCTTAATATCTTACATACTGTATACATTTCACACAATCTTCCATTTCCCGTTGCTGAAAAAAAACTAAATTTGGAGGCAGAGATTTTTAAAAATTTAAATGATAAAGATGCTGGTCTAACTTTGAAATGTATTTATCTTAAGACACATTTTTGGTCTTAAAATAATCTTGACTCCTATAAAATGAAAGCTATAAGTCATATTACTAATATTAAGAGGTAAGTCTTATTCTTGGCAGTGCCCACTTACACTGAGGGGAAGACTGTTTGAATACTCTATTTAAAAGGAATTTAAAACTTAAAATGAAAAAATTAAAGAATTCCGAATAGTATAACTAAATAACGGAAGCTAGAAAGACGTGGAAGAAACACATCACAAACTCGATGGCATACAATACACCTTTTAATTCTGAGAAAAAGTCTCCAAATAAAAAATCTACATTAAAATAAATAACAAACACTAATTTAAAAATTAAAATGAAAAAATTAAAGAATTCCGAATAGTATAACTAAATAATGGAAGCTAGAAAGACGTGGAAGAAACACATCACAAACTCGATGGCACACAATACACCTTTTAATTCTGAGAAAAAGTCTCCAAACAAAAAATCTACATTAAAATAAATAACAAACACTAATTTAAAAAAAAAATCTCTAATTATCTAAGGGTTGTATGAAATGCTAATTAAGCATGAAATAACCATACTAAGGAAAAAAATAAATGGTCAATTTGAAGAGGTTTCTGTCATCTGGTTCCTCAACTGTGTAGTATCTACAATAAAAGAGATAAAATGAGAACCTTTTTTAGTTTAAGTTTTGAGTACCTACCAAAAAAAGGGAAGAAAGATTCCCTGACAAATAAGAATTTTATCACTTTTATTTCAACTTCAAAAGCAATTTATTCAGTTGATTTAAAAACAGGTACCTCAAAATATTTGAAAAGAACACGAGTGAGTGTCTCTCTGAAGTGGGAAGGACATAATACTGACTCGATAACCACAACTCGGCGGTCTCTGGGATTCACCAATAGATGCCTGAAAAGTGATAATTTTGTTTTTTAAAAGTAAATAAAAGTTTGTATTTATTTTGGTAAGTAATGCAATTTGATAACAATAGAGAAATTATACCACCTTAGCTTAAGAAGCTTTAAAACGAAAAGACATCTTCATTTTATTACCCCTGAAAGATACTGTTTCTGACCTCTTACTATGTGCCATGCACTGTGCCAGAACTTTATTAGCTCATTTATTTCAGAAAACTAAAACTATAGCCTACTATGATTATTAACTTGAGCCATTAAAATGATTTTCTTTTATTAGGTTACAAAAGTAATATAGGCTTACAAAACTCCAAACACTACAGACATTTTTAACTTGGAAAATACAAGAACTTTATACTCCTACTACCCAGAAACTACCACTGAGAGCAGTTTGTATATTTTTCATTCTTGTGAATATGTATGCATATATTTTAACAGAAATATTCATTCCATAGATGATGCTCTTCAACTTGCTTTTTCCCACTTATCAATATATCTAAAACACCTTTCTGTACTACTGCATTTAGATACAGAACTCTTTTTTAATGAATGCACAGTGTTTCACTGTATGGATGTATAGTAATTTAATTATCAATCCCCTTTATTAATGGACATTTGATTTTCAATATTTCCTTATGTTTGTTAGTTTTCTAGTCTTCAAGTATATTTTTGAAAAGGTTGAAAATAAGCAAGTAAAAATTGAAGTGAAAGTCAGTTTTTTTTTTTTTTTTGCATCAACCAAATATTACTATGACTGGCACTAGGAAATTCTATCTAGTCACAAAAACAAAACAAAACAAAACAAAAAAACAACCTAGGGAAAAAACCCAAAAAGCAATCGCATCTTACCTAAAATACAGGATGTGGATGAATTCCTTTAGGTAGGAATATAATTCTTCTGTATTGATATTATACTGAACAACTTTGACAGGCTGTAAAAAATTAAAATGATTAATTTATATAATAAAATAATCTCAGATTAAAACTGTGTTTTATTTTACCAATGCATTTTCTGGTAATAAATAAATTGCAATTTGTATTAAGGATACAAAAATTAAATACAGATTAATATCTTAAATTAGAAATCCTCAAGAAATGGCATATCTAAGATTATGGAATTTTTTGGTTTGTGGTAATAGAAGCACGTGTTCATAGGTAAAAGCTGTACTCATATGCATCTTCCCTCCATCTGACTTATCATTTTAGCATGACTGATGATAAAAATCAGCATTCACCAAAAAGCATTACAGGCTTCCTCAAACTTGGTTCAGTCCCCATGAGTCACTTCCAAGGCACTAATATCTTCCCTTTTGCAACATCACCACGCTTAATTACTTATAAAATGTTTAACTTTCTGTTAGACTATAAGTTCCATGGGGCAAGAACTGTTTTGGCTTGCGTCTGATACATCCTTCTTCAAATGATACAGTGCCAGGAACATAGTAGGTTGTTCATAAATATATGTTGTACAAATGAGAACAAATACCATTAGCACAAAAGCAGCATATGCAAACACTACCAAACCGTAAGTGCTAAGTCAACACTAATATATAACAAGGGCTTCATTTATGATCCTGAGAAAGCTCTAAGCACAGTGATGCATCATTGGCACACCTCTCTTCATTTACTCTTTCAAAGGGAAGACCATCATCAGCTTGGCTAATTTCCTCATTTTATGTGGCTTAAAGAAGGTTGCGAACCATATATAGTCAAATATAAGTAATCTTTATATACATTTGTCTTTTCAAATGAAGATAAAAGTTCAAAGCACTAAATGCCAATGAGAATGTAAAAGTTCTAAGTCCAGTCAGAAATCTATCTAGTAACAGAGTAATGCCAATTATTATAAAGCAAAATTACATGAAAAATTAATAAACAGGAACTTCCATCACATTTTTGAATATCATACCACAAATATCCACTATATTTCTGGTTTGTTCAATGATTTGCAGAAAATTTTAAAATCAATGAAATCATTCCCTAATCAAGTGTAATTAAAAAGATTTCTGATGCATTCCAATGCCGAATATAAATCGATGGTCTAGTCTATTCTGCTACAACATGTTTTTATAAAACGCATATACAATTGCTAAATAAGGGTGTAATGTTAGTATAACGTTAAAGTTGTACTAGTTCATATTAACCAAGAGAAGCTAAAATTATAGCTAAAAATAGCAGAATTATAACCTTCCTCGAGAAAAAGAAAGTCATCAACTCCATGGTTACACAGGTAGATATCCTTCCAGATATTTAAGAAAATTTAAATAACTTCCTACCCCAGGGGCTCCCTCCTCAAAGTGTATCCTTTCATGACTCTATTGGCTGTATTTCCTCCTAGTCTCTATTTAACAACAGTCCCACTGGCTCAGAACTTGCTTCCATCTGCTTTGTCTCAGCACCCACTGGCCAGTATTTTAATCTATGATTTTATTTTAATATCCACACTCAGTGGCCAGCCAATACTATTTAGATTTTCCCCTAAGGTATCAATCATTGTTTTTGCTAGTGCTCTGATTACAGGGTTTTGTATGGTCTACCCCAACCTCATTTTTCCCATAAGCCTGCTTTGTTTTTTTAAAAAATGTATCATACTGCAGAACAGAAGTTTTTCAGGAATGAATATATAATGTGACCACAGAAAGACCTACATCTTATTTTTTTAACAGATCAATTTTATGGAATGTAAAATTATTCTTTCTATTGGTTGTAATTCCTAATTTGCCAAATAAGCTTTGGCAAGAAACTTACTAAAGTGTTTTTTGAGCTGCACCTGTAATCCCCGCTACTTGTTGGCTGAGGCAAGAGGATTGCTTGAGCCCAAGAGTTTAAGACTAGCCTGGGCAACACAGCGAGACCCCCATGTCAAAAAAAAGTTTGTTTTTCAAAATTCTTTGAATTTTAGAACTACAGATAAGGGAACGAACGCCTGACATATTTTAAATAAGGTAAGAATAAAATTATTCAGTGATTATGTTATACTAGGCTTATAAAAGTATTTTACTAAGGTTATAAATTTTCTCTTGATATTATATGATTCCATTTATATAAAATGTACAGAAAAGGCAAATCTATAGGAACAGAAAACATATCAGTGGTGGGCTAGGAGTAAGAATGAGGATTAACTGTAAATGGCATTAGGGATCTTACTGAGGTGATGAAAATATTCTAAAATTGGATTGTAGTGGTGGCTATATATCATAACTTCATGATATGCAAATTAGACCTTGATAAAGTAGATTTTAAAAAGTTCTCTTGGAAATATAGCTGTAAGTCACATATTTAGCACTATTCTAACCAATCTTATTTGAAGTCATATTTAAAAATACTTTATAGTACAGTATTTATTTTGCTCATTTGTTTTAAAAAATACCTTAGGCAGGCCAGCTCTTTTTATCACACTAGGAATTATACATCTTGGACCAGTTTCTCCAGCAAATCCACACCTGTAAATAAATAGAAAATTGAAACACTCAACTTACAGAATTCTAAATATTTGTCATTCTAGTGTTTAGTAATTCTAAATATCACTGTATTTGTTTCAAAACAATGGTCACAGAAACATATGGAAATATCTTTGATGCAAAGGGACCCCCCTCCCCCTCAAAAAACTAAGAAGTTAATGCCATCTATTAATAATTGTGTATTAAAGGAAAAAATCAAATTATTTAAAATTAGTGATACTGAAATAAACCAGTGTACAGTCATCCCTCTGTATCTACAGGGGATTAGTTCTAGGCGCCCACCCTCCCCACCCCACAGATGCCCAAATCTACACATATTCAATTCCCACAGTCAGCCCTCCATATCTGCAGGTTTCACATCCATCCTGTGAATACTGTATTCTTGATCCGCGTTTGATTATAGATGCAAACCCCAGGATACTGGGGATCAACTGTATTTATTGGAAAAAATCCATATAAAAGTGGATTCGTACAGTCCAAACCAGTGTTGTTCAAGGGTCAACGATATTATTTTAGGGTAATATTTCCTTTTCCCCCCATTTTTAATTTTAGGTGAATTTTAGGCAAGACGTTGCTATAATCCTGGATCTGTACTATACTATGTGACTTCATTCATATAATTCAGATGAATCACTCATAATTCCTTCATTCTAATATTATTAGCTTCCATATTGGTGTGTTTGCTTTCAGTCTATTTTTTTAACTATGCATATTTGACAGTTATAATCATATTTCATACTTAGTGAACTCATACAATAAGCTGTCCATATTAGTAGTCTTCATTGGTATCATTTTAAAAATTATATATTTCATTCCTTAAAAAATATTATTTTTTTCTTGAATATTTAGCTACTTCCATATTTTATATTAGTAAAACAAAACTTTGCTTAAAAACTTGCTAAAAATGATCATCATGCTAGTCATAGTCTTAATATCGCCTCTTCCTGTCTTGTCTAGTTTTTGTACTGCTTTCTTCCTATCCCCAAATAGCTCTCTTCATCTTCTACTATCCCCATCTCCATGCTCACTTGCACTAGTGCTCCTCAAATTCCCCAGCATGCAACCCATTAAGTAGCTTCAATTCCTTTCTTTTACTTCATATATTCATCTTATCGCCTTCCTGCTTTTATTTCTAATAATTGTCTTCCTGTCTAATTTCTTTTTGCTGCTTCTTCAATGTACAACCAAAACATCTTTGAGTAGTGGTCTCAAGGTATTTATCATGCTATTAAGATAAATTTTTAAATAAACAAGAAAATATAAATTAATAAGGGAAAGCCTTGCATAGAACAGTAAGAGAATGTCATAATCAAGGACTATGTTGAATCCAATTCTGGAGCTCCTGAGCTCCAATTTTTAAACAGGCTCTTCTGGCCACTTATTCAAAAAATGGTTATTTAAATATTTACTCTATGTTAGAAAATGCTTGGAGGTCACAAAGATTTTTCAAATGTTTTCATTTCAGAAATCGTATGTGTGTGTGTGTGTGTGTGTGTGTGTGTACACATATATATTTGATGTATTGCCTATCACTTCTCTCTCTCTGGAGCCCACTACAAGGACTCTTAATCTCGGGTGCAAAGACCCTGCCAATCCCCTGAAACTGTGTGCAAATATCTTAAGATTTGTGCATTTGTGGTTTTCATCTGGTCCTTAAAGGGATCCTGCCATCCAAAAGGTTAACTGAACCTACTATTCTCGTGTTTACAAGTTGTCTTTTAAAACATGTTAAACGTAACCTAAGAGTTTAGAGGGGGCCAACAAAAGATTTCCAGAGTCTTATCTATAGAGTTTCACCTCTTTGTTTATGTGCCCAGTTTCCCTAATTTGATTCCCTATTCTTGAAGAGCAATAGGCCTGTCTTAAACATATTTGTATTTCCAGCACCAACAGAAGCTCCATTCAATAAATGTTTCATGATGGAACATCATCAAGCATTCCAATTCGGTTGCTGCCTTCCTAACCAGCTGAGCCCCAGGGTAAGCGGGGCCTAGATCATCGCTGTCATCCCCTGCACAGATGATGGATCCCAAAAGGTCCGTTCGGTTTGGGGTGACGATCCGAGGTGGCAGCGAGGGCTATTCTCCGGAACCTTCCTGGGCCCTCTCTGGGAGTCACAGCCCGATCACCCCCACCAGTCGTCCTCAGGATTCGCATCGCCCAAGGTGGTAATAAAGGCCGTCATTTGCAAGAGAGCTAGAGCGAAGAAAGGGAGAGGCCCGGAGCTGCCTGTGAGCCTGCGATGAGGACCCGGGCCCTTCCTGGGGCTCGGCCATCCACCCTCCCCTCGGGCTGACCGCAGCCGGCGCCACGGCCACTCACTTGGTAAAGGCCTCTCCCAGGTCGATCACAACCGCCGTTTTCTCCCCGCTACTCCCCAGGCCCTCGTAGAGCGGCATGGTGACGAGGGAGCCCAAAAGGAGGGGGCGCCGACGCCGCGGCCGACAGAGCTCCACCCGCGGGGGGCGGGGCCGGGGCTCTGGCGCTCGGGCGGCGGCGACGGCTAAGGCGGGGGCCTCGCGCGGCCACGGCGCACCACCCCGGGCTGTCCGAGGCCGTGCCTTATTCCGCGTTGACCCAAGTGCTTGCAGATTGCACCGTCTGGAGGACTAGGGAGGAAGAGGCTAGGGCGCCGCGGGTCTGAGTGCGGCGGCGCGGAGGGCCCAGGAAACCAGGCGCGTCCGGCGCCCCGAGTGGGGCGGAGCCGGCCTCCGGGTCCTTCCTCCCGGCACGCCCTCCAGCGGCCCCCCTGCGCGTCTGCCAAGCGATCTGTGAGGGAAGACGGAAACTCGGAAGTTTTGACGCGTGCACTTTAGGGGCAAGTGATGCTGAGCCCCTACTGTGTGCCAGGCGTTTTGCCTATCATTTGATCTCGCAAGAAATACCGAGGATAGGTGTTTTCTTATTTGTAGGAACCGAAGCTCCCAATGCCGGGAACGGACACTAAGGCTTTCCGATTGCAAGGCATAGCCTACTGATGCTTTAGAGAGTAATAACGTACAGACAACGCTTTATTTGGCATAGTCATTATGCTGAAAGTTTTTATTTTAATCCAAAAAAGCAGCTAAAGTAGCATCTATGAATCTTATCTATGGAGGATCAGTCAGGTAGTTTAGTCACTGTGGTGGAAGGAACACTGAACCAAAGGTCCTTGTTTACTCTGAAACCGAGGAGCTATGCAACCCCAGGAAAGTTACCAAATCTCTCTGTGCCAGAATACAATAGGAATGCTGTGGTGAAAGTGGACTGTTCACATCTTTATGGTTTCACAGCTTTCTGTGAAAATATTTTCGTTCTACAAATGTGAGCTTTAACTGTATATATGGGAGTAGAAAATGTCAAAAGCGAGGGTGTACAGTAAGAAGAGGTTCAAGGGTAGAACCGTGGAGAACACCAGCATTTAGCTGGTGTACTGGGTTGAATGGTGTCCCCCCAAAAGTCTTGCCCACCAGGAACCTCAGAATGTGGCCTTTTTAGAACTAGGGTCTTTGCAGATGTAATTAAGTTGGGATGAGGTTATACTGGATTTAGGCCCTACTCGGGTAACTAGAGTTAGTGGGGTTGCAGCCTTGTGGCTGTGACTGTAGGAAGAGAAATGACCTGTTTTTCCCCAGTGTGTTTTTCTTACCTATGTAGATACCTGAGCCTCCTTACAAAGGGTAGCTCTTTACATAAGAGTTAAAGCTGTACAATTTGAAATTTGGACAGTGTGATATTAGTAAAGTTCATGTTTAAGTATAAATTAGTGATCAGTGATCCTCCTGAAAGTAAATTGCTTGAGGTAGGAGGGTGAGGTTGGAGTTGTGATGGGGACGGAGACTTCAGGGAGAATGAGAAGGGATGAAACATTTTGCTTAATAGGGTCAGAGTGTTTGAGTAGGACCCCTCATTTGGGTTCAAATTCTGCTTCTGCCACTTTCTAATACCTGTGATCATCAATTTTCTTATTTTTAAACTGTCCTGCTACTTCACAAGTAGTCTGTGAGGATCAATTGAAATTATATTTCTGAAACTATTGAAACCATAAAGTGTAGTTATTACCCATTCTGTGTTTTCCATGACTGTTCACCAGCTGTATTTGTTTCCTCAGGGGTGCCATAACAAAGTACCACAAACTGAGTGGCTTAAAGCAACAGAAATTTGTTCTCTCACACTTCTAGAGATGAGAAGTCAGAAATCAAGGTGTCAGCAAGCTCATGCTCTCTGAAGGCCCTAAAAGAGGATCCTTTCTTGTCTTTTCCTAGCTTCTCATGGTTGCTGGCCATCTTTGGTGTTCCTTGGCTTCAATCACTCCAATCTCTGCCTTTGTAATCACCTGGCCTTCTTCCCTGTATCTCTGCATTTCACATGATCTCCTGCTTCCTTCTGTGCATGTCTCTGTGTCCAAATTTCCCTCTTCTTGTAAGAACATCAGTATAAGATTAGGGACCATCTTAACCCAGTATGACCTCATCTTAACTTGATTGTATCTGCAAAGACCCTAATTCCAAATATGGTCACATTCTAAGGTTCCCGGTGGATAAGAATGTTGGGGAGGACCCTATTCAACCCCCATTCAGTATATCAGCTGAATATTGATATTCTCCATGGTTCTGCTCTTCTTATACACTCTCCTTAAACAATCTCTTGCACTCCCATACATACAGCTAGAGATAATATTTGTTGAGTTCTATTTGCTAGCTCTGTTTGCTATATGTAGTCCCACTTACTCCTCACAACAACTTTATGAGTTAAGATTATTATCTCCATTTTAGGATATTGAGGATATTGAGACCAAGAGAGGTTAAATAATGTACCCAAGGCCTCGCAGCTGGTAAGTGGCAGAGGAGGAATTGGAACCCAGTCTGGCAGTTTGATTCCAGAGCCCAAACTACATTGTGTAATTATAAAGTAGTTATGCATTAATTCAGATGATTATATTTTATCATAGAATTGCATCATCTTAGAATATGAAGTGACCTAAGAGGTTTTCAAGTCTAAACTCCCACTTATTACAAGAGTTTCCTGTCCCATTGAGAATTATCTCCCAAAATGGTTCCAATGATGAACAGAGGGCTCATGACTAGTTGGGATCTACAAATGTGCTTGCTAATACAATCTGGGGTAAAAACAAAACAAAACCCCAAAATGCTATAAGGATAAGAATCATTTTAAAGAAGTCCAACTCTTCCAGCAGCTTAGTATAATGGACCTGAATTCCAGTTTTAAGTCCTAACCATGTTAACTTACTGACCTCAGGCAAGTCTGTTAAATTTGCTGGGTGTCAGTTTCCTCAATGGTGAAGAGTTTGGACTTTAGCCCACAGGTATGAGTAACCATTCAAAATATTTTATGTAAGGGAGAGACAATGTCATATTTGTGTTTAGTTTGATCAGTTTGCATTCACTTCTTTTGAAGTGGGATAGACCAGCATGAAATGGAGTGGACTGAGAACGGTGGTAAGAAACCAATTTGCAAGCATTGCAAGAGTCCATGAGAGAAATGATGACCACCTGAATGAAAGCAATGGCATGGCTGGGAGAGGAAAAGATTTTAGAGAAATTTGAAAGAGATCTGCCTAATGAAGATAATATAAAGACTTTTCTGACATATAAAATCTGAAAATAAAAACAAAAACAAAAAAATCCTCCACACCAGTAGACCTGCCCTGTGAAAAATGTTAAAGGAGCTTCGTAGACGGAAGAGAAATGATTGAGCATCCTACCATGTGCTAGGAATTATTCTAGGTGCTTGGCATCAATCAGTCCAACAAAATATACAAAGAATCTTGTCCTTAGAGAACTTACATTCCAGTAGAGGGAGATACATACATAATACATAAGTGATGCAATGTTAGAAGGTGAAAAGACTTTTTTTGTTTGTTTGTTTTTGTTTTTCAAAAAGTAAAGCATAGAAAGGAGGATCCATAGTGACAGGGACACTAGGACACTTTCAGTATTGAATAGGGTCATCCTTTGAAATATAATGTCTGTTCATTTAGGGTTTATCCCAAATTCTCAACCTGAATTGAAAAAAAACGCCTTTAAGATTTGTATCAGAAAATAGAAAATATTTAAATTTGAAGCACTCCTTGAAATCATTTATACATTCAATGTTTAAGTATATAGTCAAGGAATTTTCATTTGAGTTTCATTTTGAAGTGGAGATAGGATTAATTAGGGAATAATGTTTATGTGATAAATTACCCTTAAAATGTTATCCATATGGGAGAAGACATAATTTTTATATTTAATAACCATAACATCGCAATAAAGCAATTTAAAGCTCTTTTCTCAAGCACCGTGTCAGAAAAAAAATTAACAAATATTCTGATTTAATCAACTGAAGTTACCTGGTCTTAGAGGCTTTATAGTTCAATTTGTATTAGTGCCTCCTAATTAATCCTTTCTAAAGTACAGGATTTAATTAGAATTGTAGCTTTCATTCTGTAACTTTATTTTTCAACTTATATGACTAATAAACTAAAACAGATGGCAGTGTTCAGCCATAGATTTGGTCTATATATATCTCTCCAGGAACAGCTGAAGGAATTCATACAACTAGAAAAGGATATGACAGAAAAATGGACTGAAGGAAGAATGGACATAGTAAATATCAGTGGTCCATAAAAACTACTTAAATATCTATATTGACTAAGCCTCATAAAAATTTACAATCATAGTCAAAATTAGACACTGCTACAAACCCCTATTGACCAGCTTCAATATCAGCATTTCTCCATAGTTTTTAAAGTCTATTTTTCTTCCTCCCTCTTTTTATTTTTGTTGGAGTACTTTTAAGCAAACTGTAGATATCATGTCGTTTCACCCCTATACAATTATTAATAAATATGCACTTCAAAAAAGGGCTCTTTTTTACATGACCATAAAAAATGCAAACATTTGCAACAACTTTTTTGAAACTTAGCTGTGAAGGAATTTTGTTTTTTAAGACAGGGGTCTCACTCTGTTGCCCAAGCTGATCTCAAACCCCTGGACAAAAAGGATCC